AAAAAAAAAAGCATAAGAATTACTCAGAGGACCTATGCCCACACCTGCAAGCTGTCTTCCATATAATTTACTGTTTTGGGTGTGCCTCTGAGCTGGAAGGTGGACATCCTAGAGGAAGTGGCTTGTGCAAAGTTTTTTTTATTATTTTATATCTCTTGAAGGGCTTTCCTTCAAGAAGCCCAATGCAACATAGCTGATTCTCTGCTCCTCATCCCATTTCCTGCTTGTAACAACCCTGTGACATAGGCTGTGCTGTTGTTAGTGCCTCAAAGGCACCGTTGAGCATCTGGGCTGTGCAAAGATCAACGTTCAGTTTCTTGACAACTCGGTCCCTCTTACACACACTTCGTAAATGAATGTGAAATAACCACTTCAAAGCTTGCATCTGCTAACAAGATTGGAATTGTATTAAGTCGGTCGTAAGTCCTTGTGGGAAGGAGGAGTGCGCTGTAAACATAACACGGACGATGAAAGAGTGATAATAAGCATTTATACAACATTGAAGATCAGCATTGTATGGACTTGTCAGTCCCAAAGCAGAGAGGATAGATTCCGACTGAATGGTAGGAAAGATTGTGGCCGGAGCGGTTAATGAAACCAATGATCTAACAAGGCCGGGGGCTCCCCTTTGCTGGATGTGTTTAGACAATGGCTAAACAGCCATCTGTCAGGTACGCTTTCATTTGGATCTGGTTATAGACCAGTGTTTCTCAACCTCAACAATTTTAAGATGTGTGGACCACCTCCCCATGCTGGCTGGGGAATTCTGGGAGGTGAAGTCCACACATCTTAAGGTTCCTGAGGTTGAGAAACACTAGAGAGTTGGGGAGATGACCCTAAGGGAAATAGGCAAGATTATTCTATAAGCTAATAGGGTTGAACCATTCCTTAAGCCCTGGGAAGCAAGATAGCATTGGGAAGAGACTCTGGCAGGCTCCTCCCTCGTTCTCTGGGATATAAAAGGGAGAAGAGGTAAAACACAGCCAGGCTTGCAAGTTTCTGTTATTATAGCCTATCTCTATAAAGAATAGTTGTAGACTTTCTGTGGAATCTGTTTCTGATCTAGTCTACCTTGAAGGGCTGATCCTGCCTGAGCAGGGAGTCGAAGTCTAATACACATATGTCCCCTTGTGATTATGCAACCCTGTCGTAAGTTGCTGAAATGGAGGCATGAAGATGCATGTCAGCTTTTTGGAGAAGGTGCCTCTGGCTTTCTCTGATTTGGTGCCCTCTTCCTGGCTATGGTTTCTATTGCCGAATGATCAAAATGACAAGAAGAGTATATTCTTCAATCCACTTTCTTCCTTCCATCGCAGTGCCTCCAGACCTGACACCAGAGGAGAGGCTAGAGTTGGAGAACATCCGGCGACGGAAACAGGAGCTCCTGGTGGAAATCCAACGCTTGCGAGATGAACTCAGTGAAGCCATGAATGAGGTGGAGGGGCTGGAGGCCAATGAAGGAAGGTGAGGGATTCCCTTCTCCCTAGAGAGACTTCAGTATTGTCTGGTGACTGCTTCCTTATCATTACATCATGGTTTCAAGAGTGGTCTTTCTCAGACTGTTCCAGTCTTCTCCAAACACATTGAGTCCCTGAGTCATCTCAGAATATGCCAGTTCTAATTATCTACTGTTTCCTTGACTTCTGAGATTTTCCTCCCATATATAATACATGAAATGCAGCCTAAAGTATTTTTGAAATCTCTAAAATCTGAGTGCCTATGTTTTTTTAAGGATGCCCCTGATTATTGAGCAACAGATTTTATATAAATAGTATTACAAGTAGTCCATGTTTAGTGCCCACAGTTGGGACCAGCAATTTGGTTGTTAAGTGAAGCAGTTGCTAAGTAAAACCACGACTGTGCTTACAATCTTACTTCAGCTTTCCCTTTGCTTAACAGACCTGTGACGGTCGTAAATGCAAGGATTGGTCGTAAAGTTACTTTTTCATCACCATTGTAACTGCAAATGGTCACTGTACGAGGCAGTCACTAAACAAGGACTACTTGTATCTTAAGCTTTCTGTTCTTACTTTGGAGATAGAAGGAATGCCTTTGTAAAGACAGTGCCTAGTATAGTATATAGTCATATACAGTTTTAACTGATGGAAGTTGGTTATTCAAATCAAGATCCATGTAAGTCATTGACAAAAAGTTATTTTATTGGATTGCAGCCTTAACTGAAGGGAATACTAGGCTGAACCTCTTCCCTTGCCTTGCAGGAACCATTTGTTGTTTGTGAAGCAGGCAGCTTTCTCTATTATGGCTGGGGGAACTGCATTAAGGGCTACTTGTATTATGTCATGAGAACAATGGGGTATTGTGAGGTGGCATCATTCTTGGGAGAAAGAAAATAAATGATTGCTAGAAAGGAGCTGTTTATTTTAAACAGCACCCACAAAATCTATATTATATGGAGAAGAGAAATCTTCTCCCATTTTGTATCCTCTTCCTTTTAAAAATGTGTTTTTATTTGCATCAGTGCCAAGAACAAGTTAGGATTTGGCTGCTTATGCCCAGGACTATTTAAATCTAACTTTAAACGGTTTGTCCTTCTCCTCGTTTACATTCTTTTTCTAGCTGCTCATTTTACCTTCCTTTTCCATTTATTTAAAATATATATTTTCCATTTTATTTATTTTATTTATTTATTTATTGAATTTTTCAACCACCCATCTCCCCCCAATGGGGGAACTCTGTACATTCACAGTAAAATGTATATTTTAAATAAACAAAAGACAAAGTTCTGGATAAAAAGTGACAGCGAGGGCATGCTTAGGATCTAGTGAAGCCAGAAGCATTTACAGTAGTCCTTGGTTAACGACCACTTGTTCAGTGAACGTTTAAAGTTACAGCAGCACTGAACAAATGGTACTTATGCCTGGGCCCCATTGTCACAAGATCAAAACTTGAGCACTTGGCAGCCTGCCTGCCTGCCTGCACTTATGACCGCAGGGGCACGTCAACTCCCCCCATCCACCTATCTCCCCCCTGCCACCTCTGCCCTTATGACCGCCTTGTACAGCAGCACTTAGCCTTCAGCAGTCTCAGCCAGCCGCCGCCACCATGGGCCTCTACTTCAGACCCAGTGCTGCTGCTGCTGCCACTGAGGAGTGCCACCTCAAGCCCTGCACCGTGGCCAGCCATGCCAGCACCATAGTGCAAAGCCCCCACCATCCTCCACTCTGCCAGCCCTGCTGCACCCAGCTGACCTTCACTGTCTTTTTCCTCCCACTGCTAACAGGCATGTTCAGCCTGGCCCTATGCAGGGCAGTCGCTGGCCGCACCAGGCCTTCTTCCCAAGGCCATGGGTGCTGTTGTCCAAATCATGTGTGTCCTTCTCACAATGCTTGGGAAAGCCGGCGCTGGGGACGAAGGAGGGGCCCAGGGGCAGCAGTGGCTGGCTGAGGCTGCTGAAGGTCCTGGGCCCCTATTTCAGCACCAGCACCGCCACCACCACTGAGTGCCATTGTGCAGAGTGGCCAGAAAGGGAAGAGATGCAGGGGAGATAGGCAGGTGGGGGGAGTTCAAGAGAAGGCAGTCCCTTACCTTGCCAAGGCTCAGGGCTGGGAGGGACCAAGCCAGGAGTGGCTTGGATCAGGTGGGTCTTCACCTAATGACTGGTGAGATTCAGTTAAAGGTGGTAACGGGAATTGCCAGGATTTCCATCCCTAGTGAAAGTCATGTGACATCACGCTTTACGACCGCATCACTTAGCAACGGAAATTCTGGTCCCAATTACCATCGTTAACCAAGGACTACCTGTATGTGTGTTCAAAAGTCTGCGTGAGTTTAAAACGTTGCAGTCCCTTTCTTTAAGAGTCAAAGGTGTGATTCTTTGTCTTGGACAGTAAAACTCTACAGAGAAACCGGAAGATGGGGATGGGGCGTAAGAAGTTCAACATGGATCCCAAAAAAGTAAGTGGGTGATGGGTTTGCATGTTACGATAACTGAAGATTTGTTCAAGGTAAAACAAATGTTTCCCGATGAGACAGGAATTGTTGGGAATGAGAAATCACCGTTTTTTTCCAGACCTGATCAGGGTGGAATTATATAATTGAAGGGCAGGAAACCCATCTCTGAGATTTCAGAGTTAAATGTATTTTGGAGGGTGGGAACATACTTGTACTCAGATTCCTATGCCTGTTCTGCACTTCTTGACTTCATCATCTTTTCCAGGGAATACAGTTCCTGGTGGAAAATGAACTACTGCGCTCCACACCCGAGGACATTGCTCGCTTCCTCTACAAAGGGGAAGGCCTCAACAAGACAGCCATTGGGGACTACCTTGGTGAGAGGTGAGCAAGAGTGGCAGTGATGGGAGGAGCAGACGAGAGTCAGAAAGATGCAGCCCTTGATAACCCAGTGCAGATTAAATTATGGCGCTTCCTGGGACACTGGAAAAGAACATAACACTAAAGTGTGATAGATTAAATTTATTCAGAAGGAGAGTGTGTTGCCAGTGAGAGAAGACCCAGTCTGGACTTTTTAGAGTGAGACCTAAGCAGGTTAAGGAGAAGGTGAACGTGAGGGAAAAAAGTAGGGTAATCCTTTCGTTGATGGGGATGCCAGGAATAACTGTTCCTTCAAAGGGGCAGGATTAACACAAACTCTCTTAACCTTTTATTCAGGGAGGAGTTTAATATTGCTGTGCTCCACGCCTTTGTTGATTTGCATGAATTTACTGACCTCAACCTAGTGCAAGCGCTCAGGTGAGTCTGGAAATCCTCAGCCATCTCCTGTATTAGAGCCCTTGTTTGCTACAGGAGTTTTCCAACCTTTTGGCTGCAGTACCTCCCCTTCCGATGCTGACAGGGGAAGTAATAGCAAGAATTTACTAAGTTTCTCCTGCTAAAGGAAAGCAGAGCTTGCCAGATGGCAACTCATTTGTTCCTGCCTCTCCCAACCCAGGGCCCTCTAGATGGGTGGGCATCAATTCCCACAATCCTTCCTTTAATTTTGTAGGAGGGAAAATGCCACCCTTTGGCATTTGTCCCATTCATTATCCCAAACCAGGATTTGCTCTTGGGTTTTCTACATCACCATACACCATTTCTTAACTATCTCATGATATCTTTCTATACAAGTGGGTGGGGATCCTTTGGCCTTCCAGATTTTGCTAAACTGTAACTCCCAACTGCATAGTGGTGTGTTCGCTATGGCTGGGAACGTTGTAGGTTATCCACCCCAGGTACACAGAATAATGATAATGATAAAGATAATAATTTATTAAATTTATATGCCGCCTGATTCCCAACAACTCTGGGTGGCTTACAATTGTTAAAACATCTAAAAACAAAGGACGGTAGAAGAAAACAAAAACAGAAAAACGGCGCAAGGCAAAAGAACAACGATGGTAGGACAATAAGCCCAGCAGGGAACAGAAAGAAAGAAAGGGGCATCTCTCCGAATGCAGGATGCAGAGCCTAAATTTGAATTTGTTTTCTAATCGTGCAATATTTGTACTTTGAAATGGATTTAGAGATGCTGGCAGGAAAATTGGAGTGGTTGCTCGTTTTGAGGAGCACTTCGGTCTTTGCTAGATATAGGGAGCGCTTAAAATCATATACATAGTGATGAAAGAGGAGAGAAAGACACAGGATGCAAAAGATCCCAGATACGAAATCATCTTGTGTAATGGGATCTGTGCTAGTTTTCAAAATAAAGAATATATCCAATATTTCAGAATAGACAACTGTGTCTTTTTATTCATGGCTTCCCATTCCCCTTTGCAGGCAGTTCCTGTGGAGTTTTCGATTACCAGGAGAAGCCCAGAAAATTGATCGTATGATGGAAGCCTTTGCCCAGCGGTACTGCCTGTGCAACCCAGGGGTCTTTCAGTCTACAGGTAGAGCATTTCCTGAGAAAGAGAATGGGGGTCTCTTTAGATGTGAACTACAGACTTTCTCTGGGTTAACGAAGAATGCTGGCAGTACTTGGGTTAGATTCTGAATGTTGAGTACAAGGACGTTTCTGCCATTTATTCCCTTCATTCTTAAACTGGGGACTACCTGTAGTTATAGCTGTTCTTTGAGTCACAGTACCTGTTTGTCGGAATCATAAGAGCTAAGTATTCTAAAAACTACTTGTTAGGAATAGCTTGTGTAGAATAAGGTGAGACTATGAGACTATATTACATATATGAAGGTGATAGGAGTGTTATGTTTGAATATTTCCTTTTCTTTTTTAAAAAAATTACCTAAGCACATTAGAAAAAAGCTTAGCCTAGTGTTCTTTCCCTGAAGTGTTTATGTTGCTTCATGCAGGAAGTATTTCTAAAATATTTTCTCTTGTCGCCTGTTAGGCCTTCAAGTTAGTCCAGACAAGAAGCACAACTATGAGTACTAGCTCTGTTTTTTATTATAAGGTTACATTAACATAATCTTGCAAGTCTGAAAGTATTTCTCCCCTCCTTTACTTTTACTCTCCAGAAAACTAGGGAGGGTTCTTTCTGAAATGCTTCCCATGTCCCTTCGGCTTCTATGGGCTGAGGTATCTTTTGCATGGCGGTTCTCTAGGCTGTGGCTCTTCCTCCTGTCTCCTAAGGTCTTTCCCACATACCATTACATAGCAGCCTGAAATGATCCTGTCCAAATGCTCTCGCCTCCTGTGTAATAAGCATACTCTTAGCACTCAGAGCAGCCCAAAAGATGCAGGAATCACAAAACAATGAGCCGCAGTTTATTCACTACTCTGCAATTCCATAGTTTACGTTCCATCAGGTATTTTTCCTATAGTAACGATTTAATTCTCTGATGAGGATTTATAACCAGAAAAGCCTATACATCACATCTATTCAGATGCATAGAAATAAACACTGAAATACTTTCTTATTGGTTTCCCCTTCCTCCCCCAGATACGTGTTACGTCCTCTCTTTCGCAGTGATCATGCTCAACACCAGCCTTCACAATCCCAATGTCCGAGACAAGCCCACAGTTGAGAGGTTCATCACTATGAACCGTGGTATCAATGACGGGGGGGACTTGCCGGAGGAGTTGCTGCGGGTGAGGAACTAGCCAAGTGAATGCAAGGCCTGTTTTTCAGCTAGATGGATTCTGTGTGCTATTGCTGTGACTGCAATTTCTTGCACATTCATTTTAAATATTTTGCTTTTGTTTGTAAGTGCATTTTCTGTATTATTTTGTCCTCTCCATTGTATATTCAACCAAGCATGGTATCAGTGCTGTGGAAACTCAAACATGCCATCTTTTATCCTTGCCAAGATGGAAAAGGGTGTGGTCTGCCTATAACTCCTCTCCTTCCTCCCCTCCCCCTAGAATCTGTATGACAGCATCCGTAATGAGCCCTTCAAGATCCCAGAGGACGATGGGAACGACTTGACACACACATTTTTTAACCCTGATCGCGAGGGCTGGCTCCTCAAGCTGGGTGAGAGGCGCGCCCCCTGTTTCCCCTTAAACACTATGGCCTTTTCTCCTGTCCCCCATTACCCTTCCCCCGCCCTCTCCCACCACCACTACCCCACGATCTTTGCACGTCTCTGCACTCTCCTCTCTTCCCCCCCACCTGTTGTGTCATTTAAAGCATGACCTCTCTCTTCATCAGATCAAAGGGATCCTCCTGAAATCCACCCTGATGTCCCTCCCTTTCCCATTAACCAAAGATATATATAACCCATGGGGATCCATTGAACTGCAGAGATCTTCCTTTTCTCCCCACCTCCCGGTTCCACACTGAGGTGGATCTTCTCTGACAGATGATGAGAGGGGTCTGCTGGGATTTTTGTGGATTGCCTTTAAAAGCAGGCAAGTAACTGAAACCCCAGTGTCAGGCCACTGAAAGCCCTATCTCTGGCGTCTGACGTTTCGCCATTATTGCTTGTACCTTTTCAAACCTATTGGATGCATCTGTAAGTTGGGGGGTCGGGGGGTTAAAACAATGAAATTTTCCAGGATGCTGAGACTTAAATCTGGATTCATATTCAGATTGTGCAATCCTTACTTTTCCACTCTTCTAAACAGATTTAGGACAATAAGCAGGATTACTACCAATGTAACCTCTGTCATAAAACAATTCCATTAGTGTAGATAAAAACACGCATTGTAGGATAATTCTGTACTCTCAGGCTGCTTTGTAAGCCAGAGGGAAAGAATTCCTTCCTGGACAAGGAGATGCGGCTCTATGATGTCATTGTTATCTTGAAGCAAAGTGGGATAGTACTCTTGACAAGAGTCAGGCATGAAGTAGGTAGGCTTTGGGACCCTCAGGGAATCTTCCTGTCAATCCAAAGTAGGCCAGAAGCATATGATCCCAAGCAGGCAAAGCTCACACAGTGACCAGGAATGTAAACTCAGAACCAGCCAGAAGAAATCCATAGGTGTGTCCTTATGCCAGAAATAGTAGCTTGGACTGAGGAACAATCCTGGAGTCAAAGATTTTATAAATCCTTGGGATCGGCTGTTTTAAGTGACTGGGCAAGCTGGCAATGTGGTCTGAGAGGTGCTTGGGAACCTTAACATTCAGTCTTCCTTGGAAACACGTGGTGGCAAGGTGGGAGTCTGATCACTGAGTCCTGGTTCCTTACAAGGAGCCTGAGGTGAGAGTCGTAGCAGTGCCTTATCTTGCTGTTCCATGATCTGGTTAGAACTTCAGTGAGGGCAGACATTCCAGTGTGTCCTTTTGCTCTCACGGCAAATCTTAGACCTCAGAGCAGAGAACAAGGTGAGGGTAGAAGGATACAAACGGAGGTGCTTTCACACTTGCTGGTTAAAGAAACCAAGCTATGGCCACTAAGTTCTTCCTCCAAGGATGTGGCTGTTTCCTGTCACATCACCCTTTCCTGCACTCTTGAGTTTGATAGAGCACCACTACAATGTAGCGTTTGCTGTAGGCAAAATATTATTACAGGCCTTTGGTTGCCAAACTCTGACGTAGAGCAAGGCAGATGGACAGTAAAGGGAAGAGGAAGGATCGTGTGGCCCAAACGACATGTCTTCAAGGTGGAGGAGATGAGAGAAAAATAGCACTATTTGAGCAAGGGAAAAAAATACAGCTTAGCCCAGTCACTTTCCTCACAGAGGAATTAAATGAACAGTTAATGAATTTTGAAGAGCCGTGCTTGGAATCTGAATTCCTGGCTTGACTGGGATGCAGCTGGCTGGACAGGCCACAGCCCTTGATGATGTCATACACCTACCTGTAGAGACCAGGGATTGGCAAACTTTTACTACAATCAGTTTTGCCTCCCTGTGGAGGCTAGTATGTAGCAAAATTGGTTGTATCATGGTTTGCAAATGTCACCTAAACTTCTAGAGATAGGATTTCCTGTAATTTGTCAAAGGCTTAGAAGGCTTTATCATTTAGCAAAGTTATGCCTGTCCCTTTTATACCCATCCCCATAAAATTTAACACCTTCCTCCCTCTGCCTGTCCCATTCCCCAGTCCCTTTGCCCCCAAATGCCTATGTCTGTGTTGGAGGATTTTTGATTTGACCATGTACTTCTACCTTATGTTGATGTAACTTGTTCTCCTTTCTCTCTCTTCCTCTCTCTCTCTCTCTCTCTTTTTCTCTTCCTCTCTCTTTCTCACACCCATTTTCTCTATCCTGACTCCCTGGTCCCTACCTTTTTTTCTCTCTCTTTGCTCCCCTCTTTCCCCACCACTGCTACCCTGCCCCCCTCTCTCCTCCACCATCCCACGGCGCGGACTACATTTGTTCTACTGTCTGAATACTGCCCCCAAACCAGGAGGTAGGTGAGAGGAGGGGGCCTTTTGCTTTGCAGCTGAAAGCTGGTTTGCCTGGGGCATTTTGGAGTGGAAAGGGGTCGGGGTTGGGGGTTAGGGCATGGAGGGGTTGGAAATGTTGTAATACTGGATGTGACTGGGTTCAGTCGGTACAAGGTGAATGTGGAGGAGATGTAAGGAGCTAGCATTCTCTTCATCCCCAGAATGGTACACGTCTTGATGCAGGGGCGAGCACCCATTTTCTGTTGAGAATTATATCATTCCCTCGATGATCATCTGTTTGGGACCATTTGCTCATTAGAGGGCGGGGCTGCAGCAAAAGCAGTGGGTGGGGGCACCCATTCTCTCTTTTTGACATCCCCTGTCCCCCTCTCTTTCTGACACTTTCCCTTCTCTCTCAATCTGTTCCCCCCCTCCCATTGCAGCAAGCTACCAGGTAATAGACACAGCTGTTGACAGAGGTCTGAATTGATCATGCTTACAGCTTTAGGGCAGGGCTGCATACAGTGAGGCTGTGGTGCCACTGGAAGGGAAGGGTAAACAATTGGGGGACTTTTTTTAATGGATTGGGAGGCTGAGCAAGTTTCATGGGGGGGGATGAGAAAGTTTCATCTCCCAAAGGCTTTGCACTAACTCCCCTACCTATTTTGCTATTTTCAGCCCTATTACCACCATATTTTAACAGTGGAGTTGTAGGTATTTTGAGAGGTACGCATGTAGATTGTGGATTGTCCACAATCTACATGTCATAAATAGTCCACCTGTCTTAATAGATTACTCTTTAGAAAACAGGCTTACCCTTTTTTCCCATATTAAAGCAAGCGAGAGAGAGAGAAGGTGCCTGCAACAGAGCATAGATTCCTTGTACTTTATAATACTCATGCAGAGTGCGAGATGCAATCTCTTTATTGAGAGGCAACATGTTACTGAATGTCAGCCTTCAAGCTGTCCTTCTTAGCTTCCCAGAAGTATCTGCCTGGCAATTGTCGGAAGCAGCAGAAGACTGGGTTACATGGATTTTTGGTGTGTTCTTAAGTTCCTGGAAGAGTATTTTTGGATCTCATAGCTTTGTCCATTTCCACAAGAGAGGCTAATACTCTCTTTGAAGTTAACTTACTGTAAGGAATTGGGGACCGCAAAAACAAGAGGAGTTGGAATCCTTATCCAGTGATAAGCCAGACCTGCACCCATGCATCCGTACGGATTAGCTTTGCCTCAAGCTGGGAATGACTGTTGGCTTTGCAAATGCAGCTGGCAACAGATCTGAACTTGTATCTTGCTTCAAGCCTATAGCAGTTGCTTGCTTTGCATGCTGAAAGCCCTCCTTTTTCTGAAAATGGGGGTTGAGTTTTATTCAGAAGAATTGAGCGCTTATGCAAAAGCTGCTTCCCTTTGGAGTTGAGAACTTTGTTCGGAGAGGCATTGGAAGCTAGACGTTTCTCCCAGACTCCTCCACAGTGACCTTGCTTAAAGGAGATTTGCTCCTGAGACACAGCTATGCTTTGTTGGAACAGCTTGTCTGAAGTGAGGAGTGTATTTGCTTTGGAGTGTCAATTTATGCTCAATGGTAGCCCTGATACTTAGTTGCTAAAACACATGTGCAGATTGATGACAAATTAAAGCTACCGCCACTATTACAAGCTTCAGGACAGCCTTACAAACGTCTGCATAGAACGGATCTGGAATTGTATCCATTCTCATTTTTGCATTAAAAAAAACAGGGGACAGTAATTGGAAAACCTTAATGCTCATAAAATAAATCCACTGTTGGAAAAGGTACTATTTTGCAAACTCCTGGAATCATTTCCAGCTGTGTTTAATTACTTTGATTCATTTTGTGCTCTTTTCGTCTTGTTCTTCCTTTCTCCCCCCCCCCCCGCCCCCTTTTTGGTCTTACGTTGTTTCTGAACTCTTTGTTGCATTGGCTTTCTTCATAAGCATGGCTTCCTGCCCCAAAGTATGAAGGTAGAGAAAGATTAGCGACCAAACTACAAATACACTGAAAATAAGGACTGATTCCCCTTCTTGTTTTCAGGAGGACGGGTGAAGACATGGAAGCGACGCTGGTTCATCTTGACTGACAACTGCCTCTATTACTTTGAATACACCACAGTTAGTACAGTTTCCCTCTCCCACCCATCCTGCACTCCCCCTATTAGCAACTGGGAATCTAGGAGTCCTAGGGTTTGCAATTGAGGGCCCACAATGGCCCACGTTGGGCAGGAAGGATCTTGACAACAGTATGGTAATCCAGGAAAAGTATCCCAACTTGAAGTAGAAAAGCTGCTTAAGAAAGAGTACTTTTTTCAAGACGTGTGGGCAGAAAGAGGGCAGGGTACAACAAACTGCTCCCCTAAGCTCTGCAAGATCAACGGCCAGTCCACAACTGCTACCCCCATGTTTTGTACGGTTGTAACCAAAATCAAAAGTAACCCAAATGCAGGATCACCAGTGCTATTCCAAGTCCTACGACCAAGTGCTAAAATAAATGAGTACATAGAACAGTGTTTCTCAACCCTGGCAACTTTAAGATACGTGGACGTCGACTCCCCAAAGATATGTGGGAGTTGACGTCCACATATCTTAAAGTTGCCAAGGTTGAGAAACACTGACGTAGAAGGTAGGAAGAGACTGCCACCTGGTCTGTTACATTGGTGAAGAGCTAATTTCTTTGGGTTAAAACTCTAATTCTGCTTTGTTAAATCTATATCATCTGAACTCATCAGATATGATTATCCACACCCTTGATTTTACCTTCACAACTGCCTTGCGAGGGAATTCAGGCTAAGAAATAAGCATTTAGTGAGTTTCATGGGGGAGTGGGGGATGTGTCCAACACTCAAACTGTTTCATCACAACAGTACTCCTTCCTCAAACTCCAGAAAGGGTCTATCTAACACAGTCTTTCCCAAACGTCTGCCTTCCAGATACATTGAGAGTTCACCTCTGAGAATTTCCAGTTAGCCATTAGCTTACTGGTTAAAACTTCTGGGAACTCTAATCCCAAATGAGGGAAGACTCATTAAGCCTTGCCCTCCAAGAGATTTCCTGGAACAGATGCTTTCATTACCCTCAGCCCCACCTACCCAGATTGTTGGGCCTGCCCTGTTTCATTCATATTTTTAAAATCCATTTCTAGGACAAAGAACCAAGAGGCATCATCCCACTGGAAAACCTAAGCATCCGGGAAGTAGAAGACCCACGGAAACCAGTAAGTGGTGTCGCATTATGATCACTTACAGCGTTGCCAGAGTGACTGCTCGCTGGACGTGATTCGTGGTCGGCCTTGATCGTCCGTCCTCGGACCAACTTTCCGCAGCTCATGCTTGGACAGGCAGGCAAATGCAGCAAGCCTTAAAGGCACTGGTTGGGCAGAGAGTTGGCAAAAGCTTTTTAAAAAAAATTCTGGCCACTTTCAACAGAGATAATTTGCGTGCTTAATTTACCTCTGTAGCCTTTTATATTAACAATCTCATTTCTGCTGGATTTCTAAGGGGTTTTTACAGCTATCTAGTAATGTTTGAACTGAAGATTTTTTTCCCCCCCATTTCCAGAGAGGCATCACAGGCTCTGGCATCTTAACAGTCAGCAAAGCGCTTATATTATGCCTGTTAAACTTTTTGTTGTTTTTTCTTTTGTTTTTATTCCGTGCTTTTTGATTTTATCGTAAGCTGCTCTTCGCCGTCATAAAAGAAAACTATAGCGATTGAACTGAACAAAGATTGAAATCTTACGCAGGTCTACCTGGGAGTAAGGACTATTGGACTCAGTCTTACTCTGAATAGAAATCATAAGACTGCAGAATCACTGTACAAGTAAACCCTCGCTTGACTAATAGTGGGGAAGGATATTACATCTGACTGGAATTTTATGCATGCACAAAATAGCAAATAGGATTTTACACATGTCCAGAAGCAAACAGATTTTGTCTGTCGCATCCTAAGTCTGCTAACTGAGGTCTGTTAAATCAAAGGCTTATTATATATGAAAGAGTAATAAAACTAAAGAGATATTACCTGATGCATATTTCTGGAAAGAGAATTCCAGAATCAAGATGCTACCACCAAAGAGATCCTATGGCCAGTTATTAGTTGACAAGCCTGTATAGACTGATGCAACCTTGACTTCCTTGAAATTATGGGGTTAACATTAGTCAGGTCCAGGCACTGAAAAAAATAATTGATAGGTTGGGTGAGGGGCTGGATTCTATCGCAACTTCCCCCCAGGTTTGCTGACCTAATGCCATCAGCAGACGTTCCTCTGCCTTGCAATCCACTTTTCCTGTTTTCCCTTCTCTGTACTCTCAGATCTTCTGGAAGGCATTTTCATAAGCCCTTTGCAAAAGCCTCTCCTTTTAAAGGGTTTCTCTTCCTTTCATCACTGTTTTATTTTATTTTTTTTAGAATTGTTTTGAACTCTACATTCCCAATAACAAGGGCCAGCTAATCAAGGCCTGCAAGACTGAAGCGGATGGACGTGTGGTTGAAGGGAATCATATGGTCTACCGCATCTCGGCGCCTACACAGGAAGAAAAGGATGAGTGGATTAAATCTATCAAGTGAGGATAAGACATTATTTCTTTTGCAGAAATCCTGATTCCCAGTTCTAGCTCCTGAGATACCCTTCCACTTTGAATTTTGAGACTTTATTTAGCAGAAAGCAGCAGTTTTGACTTCTCTGGACATTAACCCAAACTCTAGTGCAGGAAATTCACAATATCTTATGACTTGGCCTCCCCCCAAATCTTGAAATTTCCCTAGAATTTGGCAATCCTACTTTGAGACTTAATAATATTTGGGGGATATTCTAAAAAAAAATGCTAATGCTATTCAATATTGGAAGACATAGGCATTGTTTTAGGGATTTTTTTTCCTGTTTTTTATCTTGTCTGTCCTTCTCAGCTGATACTTGTCATGTAGAGATATTATTAAATTAGAGAGATTTTTTTCTGTCCAGGAAACTTTTGGTTACATAGTTCAGGAATGAAGAAACTGAATTCTTAATATAGTTCTTGGAGATCTGGAAGCCAGACAAAGAGGAAGAAAAAGATGATTTGATAATCTAATAGAAGGGGTACAATTACATAGTGTATTGCTGGGAAGGCTAAATTAAGGGGCCAAGTTTTAATCTTTCCACAGAGCAGAAACTGCTGCTGATTAATAATGGTTAAATGTTTCACTCAGCATTTTGAATAGGACATAAATTCACAGTGGGATTCTCTGAAGACTTAGAGCTAATTAAACAAGAATCTAAAATTGTAGAAGTGCCATTTCTCTGCAGTCGCAAAGAGAGGCCAGTAGGTGGGTAGGGCAACATCTATGATCAAAAATCACAAAAATCAAAATATTATAGCCCATAAAGCTTAGATATGTCCAATTTGCTGCCTTTAAAAATGACTTAGTAAATCACCTGTTGTAATCCTTAGTCAAAACTTTCTCATCTTAATCTGTTGGCCTGAGAGGCTGAATTTCCTCACTGCACTGTAATCTTTTAGCTTCCCTAAAGAGCATGCCTTTTGTTGTGACCTGAATATGTAAACAAATATGTATAGATATACCCTTTACTTCCTCTCCTCCCTGTTCCACTTTCTCCGCTTCCTTGTTAAGCACATGTTTATGGCACTGATGTGATCCAATTTAGTTGAATTCAGTATGTGCGTATCACACAACGGATGGAGCTAGTAGGTCCAGAGTTAACTGGGTTCAGACAATACGCTAAGCTCAGCTAAAAGGTTGGCTCAGTATGTTGTGGGAGCCCAACCACTCTCTTAGCACCCTTTGTGAAGAAAAGCCATAAGATGGTATATTTTCAGGTCATAGCTTGTCATATGAACACAGAAATTCTCTTAGATCAAACTAGTTTTAGAGTGCAGCGTGTTATATGAACACAGCCATTAACTTAATGGCTAAGCAGGATTTGGAATTTGTTCTTCCAAATCTACCTACCCCCCAGGTTTAAGTGGGGGCAAAGCAGAACACAAGAAATCCCGTTCCCTCTTTGTACCTGGCTTCTGGCTTAACGTTCCATATCACTCTTTTTCTCAGGGCTGCTGTAAGCGTGGATCCTTTTTACGAGATGTTGGCTGCCCGCAAGAAACGGATCTCGGTGAAGCAGAAACAGGAGCAGGCATGAGGTGGGGATTCTCTAGTCCCCCTCCTTTCCCCTTGCTGTACGTCCTCCTGTATCCTCTCTTGGACCTGCTGACAAGCCCACCTGGGTTGAACTCCATGAAACCACCCATTCCTATTGTGGGACCACCACACTACTTGGCCAGTCTGATGGCATGTCAGCCTCCCCACTGCCCCACTCGTCTCTCCAGAGCTTTCTCTAGCCCTGTTGGGCTTTGCCAGTGGGGCTTGAGCCTGGGAACTGCCACAGGGTGGCAATTTCAGGGAATGGATGCATCGTTTGTGTTTTGGGGCAGCTTCTCCAGTGAGTTATCTTCAGCCTTCATCAGACAGAGGCAGATGGTTTTGAAGCATCTCAGCTAACTCACCCCACCGTGACTCGGGGGCAACAAACTTTGATCACGTTAAAGGAACATTTCCTACTTGATTGGACTTTTTTGTTCTGCTTCCCAACATAACAGCTGGTCTGCATGTCTGAGAAGAAAAAAATGGAAAGCCCCCTTCAGACTATTAGCAGTTTAGAGTGTGGGGAAGCCCATGTTTCCACTCATCGGCTACAGAAAAACAGCACCTTGCAACCTAAACCAAGCACATCAGGGAGTAAGCTAGCATGTCTTTCGAACTGCTAGTTTTTCTGTGTTTCAGGATCATTCAAGTCATTTAATTTCCCCAAGCTGCTTCCTGATGCCGATGGTCACGGGAGCATTTTTCACATGCTTTTTCCTGTAGGCTGCCCCTTGGAGCTTATTGCCAAACCAGCTACACTGTGCATCCAAGAAAGCAGTATTCTGGGCCTGGCGCACTACGTAATGTTTGTATCTACCCTGTTCCCCATTATTCAGTCTTACAAAAGGAAGCAAATACACCAACACCCAGCAGGGGGCAGCAGAGAGCCAGACGGCCAAAGCACGCACACTGACACAACATGGAACACTATCGGTTGCCTCCAGCAGGAATGGCTGACACATTTGTAACTGACAGCTGTTAATTCTTCATGTTTCGGCAGAGAGGTCATGACCCCCAAATTCCCTTTCCTGCCACCTCCCAGAAACTGAATCCCTCCCCCCAGTTATTTGTGGAGTCATTAGAGCATTGCCTCTACAACCAGTTCTCCCCCCCCCCGCCCTTTCTTCCCTGAAGTGTAGCAGCAACATACTTGGGGCTTCCTTCTGAAGTTAATCCAATGTATTTTTGGTGGCTTAGCGAGGAATTCAATTAAGCGGACTGCCACCGTCATGTTATAACATGATCATTAGGACATTCCCTTGTTCCAATAGGCAGGAGTGGGTGATGGCAGTTCTGTTCACGTAGAACTGAAGAAAGAATCGCCTTTCTGCGTTGTCTTTTTCAGATTCAGATTTTTTTTAAGTTCTGGAAACAGAATTCTCTTCAGTCACAATAAGCCGTTATGCAATCGGGATGGTTAAGAGACTCTCTCCCCCATTTTTTCCAGAACCCGTCGATACTTGCACATTCAGGTTATAAGATCAGAGAACAATAAGTAAGGAAAAGAGAACGATCTTACACATTGAAAGAAGAATTAGTCCCTGTACCTCCTATCCGGATAGCTCTAATGCCTGCAGACAGGTCCCCAGCACTCCCAGTCCACACACTGCCTTTTTGTGTGTGTGCGAAGAAATTCGGAGATAGCTGTGTTAAGTTCCACTTGTCATACTTTTCACTTTCAAGAACCTGCCCCTTAAGATTTAAGAAGTGTGCTCTTCCTGGTGGTGACCTCACCTCACTGGACAGGCCTTTTGAGGCCCTCTCCTACTCAAGTGAGTGGGATATTGTACCTCCATATCTTGCAACTCAGAGTTCCAAATCTAGTCTTCCACCACTGCCTTTCCTCAGGTAGTCCCTTGGGTATATAACAATTCCGGGTCTGAAGGCTTCTTCGAGTCCCGAGTTGAGCTTTCTAAATCGCAAAGCACTTTGTGGCACAGCTCAGGTCTTTGCAGAGGAGTAGTGCAAAGTCCTCAGGAGCTGCAAAGGTCTCTGGCACGATGTTGTAGTATCTTTGCCCACGTGCATTTCAGCCTGATCGGTATTCCCTGCCCCAGGAAAAACAGCATTGTTGCTGCCAGCAGCTAGTTCACATCCTGTTGGATTTAAACATGAAGCATCACCCCCAAGTTAGAAACGCTGTGGTTTTGCTTTTCTCAGAATAAGGATTGTGTTTCATTCCATATAGAAGAAAAGCATGAAAAAAAAAGTTAAAGGCAGCAAGGGGAAAAAAAGGATCCACCTTCATTTTCAGTCTTTCTACGGGCAGGTGAAAAAAATTACCAGAAAATCCAGGGCACTCTGTAAACCGGCATTTTCCATCACAGCCCATTAAGTAGTTTTCTCAAAGCTGAACCATCTGCCTTACGACTGCTAAAACCCATCCTAGGAAACCCCTGATACCCTAATTCATACCTCCTTTCCAATACTAATTTCACTGCCTTCCCCAAGTGACTAGCCTTTCCCCTTCTCAGCTAAGATTTAATTCTATTTCAGATTCAGATCCGAATGTTTAATATGCGTATTTTTATAAACGCAAGAGTTGTCAGAAGAGGGAGATAAAAATGATTAGTCTCATAGCTGGCAGGAAGGGAAGAATTCACCTTCATCCTGCTGTGCATCCTGAGCCAAATTACTTCTCCCAGGCTATTATTCGTGTAGGGGTGGGAGGCACGGGAAAGCTCCCATTATTTCTTTGAAGGATCCATTTTCACCAGGACCACTTCAAAATCTCTCTCTCTCTCCATCTGCTAACATGATAAGGATCAAACCCCCCCCCCCACACACACACAAACATTCACTTTCCGCACTTAATATTGTCCTTGGTTCTTTGCCCCTCCTTCCCCCCAGTTTTTAGCAACTCTTCTCTCAAATTCCACAGAGAAACTACCCCCACAAAAAGCCAAGTCTCGTTTTTGGAACTCAGCAAGAAGTTACTGATTTTATATCTCTGGAAAATGTATTTGTAGACATTGGGACTGATTATTGTTTGTTCTTCAGCAATACAAATGGTAAAGTCCTTTTCTCCACCACTCCTCATTGTGGATTTGAATAACTCTGTTGTAGGAGCACAAAGGAAGGAGATAGTAACAATCCCCCCTCCTAACTTGCTCCGGCAGAAGAAAGAGAAAGAAGGGCATTTTTCTTTTTAAAAAATATATTTCCTTTGTTGGTGATGTTTTTGATTTATTTGTTTTTAAAGGAAATGTTAAGTATTATTTAAAATATTAATGTATACATCTCTGGATGATATGTAAACACCACAAACTTACCTGTGTTTTGGCTGATTCATTATTTTATTGTTATATTTATTAAGGAACAAGGATAGCCCAAGTGAAGACATTGGTGTTGTAACTCTTGTGAACACACTAAAACTGGCTTTCTGTTGCTCATAGGCATCCTTTTTGTTTAGGAAAGGGGAAAAGGAAATGCCACTTATGACACGGCATCTGAAAAATGCCAGAAATGGATAAGAATTAATTAAATATAACCTTTGAAGTCAGTCTGCTGTAAGGAAGAAGAAGTAGGTTTTTTTCTCTACCAGGGGCTTCCCAAAAGCCAGGCTAGAACTCAGTATTGGACTCAGGGTCGCTAAGGAATCCTTCTTGAGGCTATTAATGTACTGCTGTCCTTGCACATCTGACTCAGTGCCAAGGAACCAGATGTAATACAGTAAATACCATTGCTAATAAGATTGTGAACGAGTGACCTACCTGAAGAACGAATCTGAGCCCCTTTTGTCCCAAAATAAATGCTGAGTTTTCTCCTTGTGAATGTTGACGTTGAACATTTCCTGGACTCTACAAATGCTACTATGAATGCTACTAATAACATTAATACTATTAATAGCCCATATCCTATTCTGCTTCATGCTCACGAGGCAGGGTTACAGGAAATCCAAAGTTTTGTGTGTTGGGTCAGCAAGTATTCACTGAATAATTCATCTCTGTTCAGTGATCTCACCTGATGGGAGATAGGGAATGTTATTTAATATTGATAGTTGTAATGAGGTTAGGACTGTACATTTATTGAATTTGCATAGGGAAGAAACAGAGTTTCTTAAGTAATAATTTTATTTCTGGATGAGACACCCGTATGCAGTAAGAGACATCTCCATAGCTGAGATATTCTTGTCTCTTCATGTTAGAAAAACATTCCTTTTAAAATGACACTTGGAGGGTGTTTTTATTTTTAAGGATTTAAAAACTTAAACCTATCTCTTACTTGTGGTACATGTTTAATTGATTTGTTACCAGTCAACATGAAATTACGTATAAAGGTTTACAGAATCCAGCCATAACTAAATCAGACTTTACTCTGAAATCTAAAAAAAAGGTCTCCTGGATTAAAAATGCATACAGTTTTCAAATGCTGAAGTAAAATGTTACACTTATATTAATGCTTTTGTTCTAAACCCACAATGGATCATCAAGAAAGGCTGGTATCTTTGGTTTCTCACTATCCAACCTTTTCCAGTCTGGCACCCTCCAAACAAGTTGGGAATGGAACTACAGCTCCCAGAATTCCAAGCAAGCAATGCAAAACTGACTGGGGATTTTAGGGATAACAATCATGAGACATCTGGGGAAAACAGAACTGAGGGGGGCTACCATAATTGATTCTGTCTCACACCCACATACACACTAGAGTGAGCGTGTGCAAGTGAATGCAGAAGAGTAGGAAAAAAATAATGCACTTGATCATTTCCCCCTTGCAGGCAGCAAAAGATGCCAATGTCTTCTCTCCACCTGCCACTCTCACCCCAGAAAACGAATTTGGGATGAACGATTTTAGGGGTTAAAAAACAGCCACCCTTGCTAAAGGGGAAGTCTTACACAGACTCCGCTACCCCTCTTTCTCCTATTCGGACCTGTCATGCTGACAAAGTTAGGTTAACTGAAAAGTCCACATCATCTCTAGCTAGACCACGAGCTTAGTGTCCTAGGAACAGGCTCAGTTTTTGGGACACCCAAGATGTGCTACTGAAGAAATATTTGGGTTCTTAAAAATAGTAAGAGCCAAGGCATGTGGGAAAGGATTGCAGTTTCTTTGGCAGCTTTATTGCATCCCACTGCTATGAGAAAAGTCAAGACAATTAAAATTCCACATCCCCTTCCTTGAAGAAAATACATTCTCTCAAAGTGAGGCAGAGCACCTACAAACAAAAACCAGGATAGGAAATACTAAACTAAAAAAATGTGTGTGTGCTTCTGCACACGTGTACACATATGCAATAAAGGACGTTTGGTGTTGTGTTCAGAAAGCATTCTCTAGTTTTGGTCTGCTCCTTCCAAAAAACTTCGGGTATCTAGCTTTTTTAAGACTTCAACCAAAGCAGATATAATATGGAGGATTGCTATGGTCAGTTACCCAGGAGTTCAATTAATTTAATCTTTGGATTTAATGGTTTACATTCTTCATTTCCCCCACTTTAAATGGTAATCTGTATTCACATATCTACCTCAACATTGGTAAGCCAGCCCTGTAGCAACTGGAGACATGATTTCCCTTAATCTTTTCACCAGAGTTGCACCCTGGCATCTTTGCTGCTGCAAAACTGAAGCAGATAATTGTATGATGCTTATATTTTTTACAGCATAAACCTTCTAAGCAACTTCAGACACAGCAATGCTGATCAAAATTGCAGTACAGGGAAAATTCAGACATCAGGCTTCTAACCTACTCACGCTAAATGCTGAATATTTCCTTCCTTCTTTCCTTCTTTCCTTCCTTCCTTCCTCCCTCTGTCCCTCCCTCCCTCCGTCCTTCCGTCCTTGGGTTCAGACATGCCTCAATGAACCTCATAATTGTTGTCTCTCTATATGTAATCATGAAAACAACACCAGATTTCCTCACATAATCAGGCAATCCAGTAGCTCTATGTATTCAGCACAGATTTCTATTAGGTGATGATTTTTTCCAAACCATTTTGAGCTTTGTCATCAGTCTGCATGTTTTATGTGACCACAAACGTTTTTACAGGCCTCCAGTGCTTCCATGGTCACTTTTAACATAGGTTGGGTTGAACATTTAACACAATGATGTACAATTGTTTTTGCCATGCTGTACCAGAATGCTGGCCAAACATGATTTTTACAGTGATGCATAATGTCACTTTATATTTGCAGAGTGACACAGTGCTTTCTAGAGCTGGGTAACATGGCTTCTAATTTTGGTTTAGTCCACATCCAGATCTACATCCAGGTTACCTTGGTTGATTCACAGGTGGAATATTTTTTTCACACATGGCTTTATTCAGGTTGGACTCTTTAGAACAGTGTTTCTCCACCTTGGCAGCTTGAAGATGTGTGGACTTCAACTCCCAGAATTCCCACGCCACGCATGGG